GGCGGCCCCGTGCCGGCCCCGCCCGTTTCTGGCCGGTTCTGGCCGGTTCCAGCGGCCCCACCACAGGGCACAGCTGAGCCCCTCAGCGAGGCTGGCGGTGCCTCGGGGAAAGCGTATTTGAGAAAGGGCAAAATGCTGGCGGGCAGTGAGGGGTGAGGGGGGAAAAGTGTGAGAAACAGCCCCACACAGCGAGGGCCGGGCAGGAGGAGGGAGGAGGCGCCCCAGGCCTGAGCAGAGACTCCCCTGCGGCCATGGAGGGACCATGAAGGATTTCCCTGCGGCCCGTGGAGGCTTGGAAAGAGACCCCCGTGGTTCTTACTGGTACCAGGTGAGACTATTAAGTTCTTGCAAATCCATGCGGTTGCTGGAGTAGCTCCCTTTTTAGCATGTTTTCCTGTTATGCAGTGGACCATGCTGAGTGCTTGCTAGGGAGGGAAGTATTCCTAAATATTACTGCTCTCTCTCCAGGCCTAGGCACAACGGGGTGGTTATATACAGGCAAGATCACTAAGGACCTGAGATCACCCTATATGTATTCTCCTAATTTCCTTCAGCCTTTCCTTCACCTTCATGTGTGTTCTTGCTTGCTCCTCTTTGTTGGGAAGCCCTGTGTTACATCCTCCTGATGCTGCAGGCAGCGCAGGCAGGATCTGGGTGGCATGAAGAAGCCTGGCCCTGAGGCCTGCGCTGCAGAGGGGGGCTGCCGGGGTTTGCTGCTGAAGACAAGGATCCCCTCAGGATGGTGAAGCTCTGCCTGAAACGGGCTTTTGGCATTCGGCACTGAGCTCTCCCACACCTTCATCCCGTTAGAAATGGGTACGCCCTGGAGTGCTGTCACTGGCAGAATGACAAACCTCAAAATCCTTGCTGTCACTGTTGATTTCACTCCCTGTGAAGACCCAGCCCCTGGCTCAGACCATTTCCATAAAGCTTTGTTTCCTTGCATGTGTTTGAATAGCAGTATTCCTGTCTGCTTGTGGAGTAGAAAATGGGAGCAAAAGCAGGCAGAGTCACTCGCTTCTTGGGATTTAATCCAACATCGCAGCCACGAGGCAGTGAGAAAACTCTTCAGAGAAAACATTTTTTAAATTATACTTATACTCTTTCTGCAGATGAGAGCCACCCTTCTTAAACACACTGTAGACATGCTATACTAAATTTAACAGAATCTCTCAGATTTGTTTTTCACAAAGATAAGAGTTTTCACAGAGCTGCTGTGTTCTAAAGGCCTGCTGTAGCTGTTTGGTGTTTGTCACGGGAGAGAGCTGTCTGTGAGGTGTCAGAATTGAGAGGTCACCCTCAGAAAAATGCAGAAGATTAGGTTTGTAACAAATCAGAACTGATTAAGGACTGTCGCAACTTTTAAGGAGTTATTAATTGGGAGGTTTAACCCTCTAGGTGTTTTGAAAGTACTGCAAGTACTTCACCACCCTCTGTCACGTCACGTCAGAAGGCAGTTTATCAGCCAAGACCACGTGTTAATAGGGCCCAGAAGAGTGAAGTTATTAGGGCTGTGATAGGGAGCTAACACTTCACATTTTTAGAGAAGTGGGTGGAGGAAACAGTGAAAACCACTTAAAAGCAAACATTTGCTCAAATTGCTACAAAAATATAGTGATCGCCACTAACACCTGCTGTTCAGTTTATGGACTCAGTTTGCTCAGCTACAAGACATCATCCCAAAGGCAGGCTGCTTAGGAGTTTGTTAGTTCAAATCTGTTTTTTATTTCTCCAACACAAGTATTGTATCACTTGTATTTTTCTTCCACTACTAAAAAAATCCGTGAGTCATTTCAACACCAGAAACGGTATAAATTCAGCACAGGAAATAATGCTCTCCATAGCTCCTGCACATTTATGAGGTGTCCTTCTTTTCATTAGTTTGAATAACTTGCCAAATAATAATAATAAAAATGTTCTGTTTTCTCTTTGTAACTTGTAAAGAAATGCAACTCTGGGAAAGTACAGTCTCTCTTTCTCCTTCCCCCACCAGTAATACAGAGCCTCCTAGTCTTTTGGAGGAGATATTTGAACGGTTGACACAGACCACTACACATAAAGCAGCAAATTTGCTGTGCATGATGTGAATAATTACTGCATTATAGTTTTGGGTTTTAGGGCAACTGTTGACTTAAGCAAAATAAGCCTGCAGTCCAGCTGCAGATCCAAGTTTTCATAAGTTTTCTTGTGTTTCTCCCTCCAGTGCTGTCTCCCTTAACAGTGACCCTTTTCAGACTTTTCAAGGTACAAAACCTTTAACAAATCCTCGAGTTCAGTCCTGCACACTCTGCTTTCACACATTTGGCTGATCTGAGCTTCTCCCTCGCTAAATATTTTCCACTGGCCTGAAAACAAAAATACAAAGGAGACAGATACTGACTTAGAAAAGGGCATAGGGAACTTCAAAGACATTTACAAGCACTCTCCAGACCAACTGATTCACAATGGTCAAAGCGAGAATATCCAATCCTCCCATGGAAAATATTCCAAGTATCTTACAATCACGTAACATATTCCATGCAAAATAACTTTGTTAAAAATAATAAACAAGGACCAGAATATTGTTCTTTTCTTTAATTAAGTAGTACTGAAAGCTGACCCTATTTATTCAACCATTTATGACGTTGGATACTCTGCTTTGTAACAGTGATGTGAAAATTTAACTCTGATGGTAAACCAAAGTATTTAAAAGTTGGCAAGTAACAAGTGTTAAGTGTTTCATGCACTGTGAACTCTGCCTACCTGTGTGTAATGCAAACTGTGTTTGCTGAATATTAATATTTCTGTACATTTTTGGTAATGTTAATAGAAATGCCCACTGTCCTGGTAACTAGAATACTGTATTACAGATAACAATGACAAGCTTACAGAAGGCTGACAGCAAAAAATTAGGAATCTTTTTATATGAAAAGGTGTCTGCTTCTCACTAAGCCTGTATTATCAAGAATATATTATTCCTGGGAAAAATACTTCCTTGTCTAATTAGAGACCTCAGAAAAAAGGACAACTTGTAATGCAAAAGAACTGGGAACTAAAAATGTCTATACGTTAATTCAACTATCAAATTAAGTGTCATATGCCAAGCTGGATGAAATGCAAAAAAGATATTGATTCAAGAGTGATAAAGGAATTGCATGTCCTTTCAAAAGACAGATTTTAATAATGAAGATATTGTTAAGAACATAGGAACGGCTTTTTTCAAATACAACATATATGTATGTAGGAGAACTCCTTTAATCATCTCTGAATTTTTTCCCTTCTAAATGACTTTCTAAGAAATTGGGGTAACTTGACATGTTACTTAAATAAATCCAAATTGTGCTGCTGTGCTGACATCAGCCGTATTTCAGACTTATGGGAGTATGGTCAAAAAACAGCTGATCTTGTATTTTATCAAAATATAGGAGACTAAGACAGGATGGACATGAACTGCTCTTGTAGGTATCTACATTTTAAATTGCTGTATTTTGATTATTTAAATCTAAACTTATAAAATATTGGAGCCATGTACTGGAGGAAAAATTAGTACCTCTGTGTTGAGTACAAGAGCATGTTTTTCAAGGCTATGATTATATGGAGAACAGAAACCTGAAGAGGTCAGAATTTTACTTACTAGGGGTTGTCCTTGTTATCTGCTTGAAGTAAGGAAGTTCTTCAAATTCCCTCTTGGACACTTTTTCAACATAGAAGTGACGCAGAATCCCTTCAGCAAAAAAATAAGAAGTGCATGTTACTGGAAATGTGTCTGTTGTTCTAAACCTGGGTTGCTCTCCTGCCTTTGTGTAGAATTACTGCCATGTTGAGTCACCTTGTGAAATAATCCTTACCAATTACGTGGATTTTCAGCCCATTCTTTTTTACTCTGTTTGCCACCCCCCTGGTTTTTTGCTACTCCCCTGTAAATCCTTCCGTGGATTTACGATTGCGGAGAGTTTGTGAGGGGGCGTGAGAATTAGCCAATTCTTTTCCAACACAGCTGAACCCTTCCTTAGTATGAGTAAATGTCAGATTACAATAGAAGCCAAAATCCCAGTGTCTTGGAGAAAACCATTATCATTTTGCAGTCAGGTGCCATTTTGCCGGGAACATCACTGTCAAATCATCACAAGGCATTGTGGCTTCTTGAACACACACAGTAGTTATTAACCATCCGATCCTCTGTGACTCCTTTTCTGCTCACACTTTGGGCCTGGCTTTGTGTTTTAAAGTGCGTTCTAGAGATGTATCATTTCCATGTAAAGGGCTGCACTATATGAGGGTTTCCGATGAGGATCACATGCGTTCTTGCTTAAAGTAGATTACGTAGATAGGATTTTTAGGAGGCTGGAGATAATTTTTATTATACTAAAAGTTCAGGATTTGCAGAAATGCTTGGGCTTCTGAATGCTTTCCTATTTTTTTCTAATTCTACCAGTTCGTCTAGTAAAATATATTATTTCCATCCTTAACACATTTTTTTCCCATATTCTAGACCATCATGGGTGTAGCATCCAACCTGTTTGTCATTGTGGTGACAACCTGTTTGTCATTGTGCTTTTGCTCACAATGAAGGGTAGGAGTTTGCAGCACTGGAGCTTCATGTGTTATTAATGGTTTTTGTACAGCAAAACCTGAGTGTGTTGGAAGTGGCTGTAATAGCGATGTCCTAAATAGCCAGAATAGCCTGGATTTAGAAATTGTCCTGGGATTTTAAGAGAAGATGGCACACTGTTTAAAGAAAGAACTTGCTCAACTCACCTTTTCTAATTGTCCACACATGTATTTCTATTTGAGGTGGCTTTTCAGTCTCTACTGCAATTTTTCTGATGGTTTCTCCTTCCTCTGTGAAAACGGATTCATAGACGGGAAATGTCTCTTTCCCACAGAAGTAATCTTTGTTGTCAAAGGTTTGACTTGGCACTTCTTCTGTTTAAAAAAAGCCCAGAACACATACTACAGCTGTAATCAAGTCCTCCAGAACTTACTTGGCAGCAAGAGCCAAGCAGGTTTAGTTTAAAAGTAGAATTTTCACTTGTATGGCCACTCAAATCCATCTCCCCCTAAGCCCCAGACATTTAATAGTGTTCTATTCTGCTAGGTTGTGATGGCCTGTCTATGGTGGCAAGACAGTATTCGTGTTAGAATCCAGTTTCATAAGGAAATGAGCTATGTAAAACCAGGTGGTCTGTGAGACTCCTCACAATTTTTGAACCTGTTGTCCACTTTTCAAGCATATTTGAAATAATGGTAGAAGTCTCAGAGGGAATAAAATAATTAAATGAAAGTTGGTGGTTGGACAGAGTGATGAGTCCCAAATTAATGCTTTGCTGAGGAAAAGGGCAGGTAGAACCTACAAGGTTTGCATTTTGCTCAGCAGCAGCCAGCTGGCCAGTGCAAGCCTGGGCTAGCCATAGTGCACTTTATCTCTTGCCCACCTGGTAAAGTCGTAGAGCATGTAAGTAGAAATTGTAATTATTCTGTTGGTAATTGGAAGTTGGACAAGAATGTAAGAGAGATGATGCAACTCAGAAACTTGGACTGCTGTTTGTGGAAAAACCTAATAATTAATATGTCTCCACACATAAAAGACAGACTGCAGGAAGAGGTTCAGCTTTCTTAAAAACTGGCACATAGAATCTCAAAGAAAAGGCAGTAACTTTCTTTTTGCTATTAAATTTTCTATTGAAGCCTGTTAGCCAGGTTTTGCTGACTGTTCTCTTCTCAAATGAGCCCAATAAAAGTTGGGGATCTCTGATTCACAAGTATCCAAAAGGATCTAGATACACACCTCCTGCCTGCCTACAGCCACTGCATCGTGCTTTTTCCCAGTAAGCAAGGCTAGCAAGAGAAAATGGGAAGTGTGCATTCTATGAAGGATTTCCATATACAACTGAACAACTCATTTCCTCAGAGCATTTCTGCCCAATGCATCACCAAACAAACATAGAAATGGGCCATACAGGTTAGAAAAGAAGTTTAAAGACACAGAAGAGCGCTGGATGCTCCTTTGTCCTTTATATCGTATACAACATGGCTGGTCATTTGGCAGACCGTCAGCAGATTCATATTATCAGATTTTTCACTAGTTGTAGCATGGATTTTAGTAAGTAATGTCTACATAAGTTTAATCATTAGCGCAGCATAGAAACAATGCTAAATTTGTGCTGTTAGTATTCGTTTTAAGGATTAAGTTACATAACTGACACCAATCAATTTATAATCAGGGGTTTTGAATCCTTCTGGTACATTTTCAAAAGCAGAAATGGTATTATCTCCATGCACATTTCACAAGCTAGAAAATGATTTGAAGTTCTGCGGGCACTGCAGTGGGGGAAGGACAGGAGAGTCTTCTGACAGTAATGCACTCTCTGTATGTTTCTGTAATGTTCTCTTTGGAAATGAGTGTCAGGAAGTCATGCTAAGGCAGTGACTGATCAGAACATAAGTGCCCCAGGCAGCAAGCCCCCCCGCCTTGAGGAACAGCAGTGAACAGCAGGGCTGGCCAGGCAGCTCTGCCTGTCTCACATTGAGACCTCTGCATGCACATCAGAACAACGCCACAGCTATTGCTACTTTCATCAGATCTTATTGTGACCAGAAGGCTTGAGCCAAGCCTCTTAACATGCAGAGCAAAAAGGTGGTCTGTGATCAACTTTGTTTTACCTGGACAGACTTTACAGCATTTTCCTTCTACTTTCTGAGGGTATTTGCAGGGATATTGTTCTGGACAATGAATTTTCTTACATTCTTGTTTGGTGATGTTGCAGGTGCACAACACACACTCTACGATTCCAAAGGCCCGGAGATTAGGATGCCAAGATTCACCATGTGAGTATGTTTTGCCATTTGAAACACAAACTACAAAAGAAGAGAAAAGGAAGAAAAAGTACAACTGGAAAAGGTATGTTCACTGGCTACCTCTCTATGAATATTCATTTGATTCACGCGCATTTGTTTAAAGCAGTGTCTCTATACATCATTTGTTAGCGTCTCTAGCCCATTTCTCTGCTTGTTAACTTCAACTTGGAATTTTACTACTAAAATGAGTCTGAGCCTATGATCACCCTTTTCTGAGCAGTTTTGCCTTGATTCCAACTCTCAGCAGAGAGTGTCCATCCCTATTTTGAGGAGAACAGCGAAGGTGGCTGAGTCAAGTATTTGACTAGCTCCTCTCCAGTGCACGCATTTCAGTTGTGCATCATTAACCACCTTATAAAACTCACTCCTCCTTCCCCTCCTAATCTCAGTCCACACACAGGTCACAGCCTGCTACGTTGGCTCTGGCTTCTAGAATTGAATTTGCAGATGACAGGATCATGACATTTGCTACTGAGCCATCTGCACAACTTTTCTTACCATTAGCTGAACACGGCTTTTGCAGTGAGAGCCATGCTATCAGCAGGATGGATTAGTGCCACCTGGGCCTTTTATTGCTCTTCCATGAGAGTTCCTGCTACCCAACACACAGAACAAAGCAAGGGAATGTTGCAAAATGAAGTTTAATGTCCTTCGTGGAAATATATATGTCTATAGGTGTATAGAGACATTTGGCTTTTGGAATCACAAGAAAACATTAACATGAAAGGATGCATTTGGGACTGAAATTTCATTCCAATAGCATCTAAGCACCTCAGAATATTTATTCATCAGTGCCCCTGGGAGACAGAGAAATACAGCTGACACAAGGACAGTGGAAAAATGCATGCCTAGTGGAAGCTACTTTGGGTCACCTGGCAGTTAATGGGAATTACATGACTTTACACCATGTTTGCATTTGTCCTATAAACCTTACTCCTTTCTTTTTAAATATTTTACAAACACAAAGAAACATGCAAACTAATCCTAACAAGGTGAAAGAAAGGGCACTGCCTGATTTCTAAAAGCAACTGAAGTGAAGCTGGGATATGTTGTAAATATTTCCAATTCTTCTAATATGCCATCATTTTTATTAATGCTTTTATTTGTAAAATATGTTCCTATTTTGCCTGTAACTTTCAAAAGCAATTTAATTTTTATCTGTAATCTGAAATTTACATCTAACTGGTAACAGATGTGACCAACTGGCTTATACTTTACTGAGTTACTGAGATTTATGGGGAGTGTTCTTTGCAATGTATTGTCTTTCATGGGGTTATGCTATCATTTGGTTTATAATTTGCTACTTTTTAACTCTTTCTTAAGGCATGTTTTTATTTTAGAGGTAGGAAACAGTTTTGTTTCTCAAATAAAAGCAAATAAAGTGTTATCTGTATACTAAGAACATGGGAGAAAAAAGTATAAATGAGAAAACTGGTAAGCACTCAGCTGCTCAGCAGGCATCTTACATGCTCAAATACTATATTATTAGTTATATTTATGCTGATACGGATTTTTTTTCCCAGGTAGAGCTCTCCAGATCCTTTATGGACATAAATATTTCATGATTTCTCCCTGACAGGGAAGGGACAATACATGACATTGTGTAGATACATATTCTCTCTGTTTTAAGGGTTTGTTTAGCACAGAACAGTTAAATAATTAATCTGAGGTAGCAGATGAAGCCTCCAGTAGAAGCCAAAACACGGCAAATAACTTCTAGTTCCCTGATGCCCTGTTTTTGGTGCTCTTCATGTTTAGAATGATAAATCTGTATCCCTGCAACTGCACAGTATTTGCATGTCAGGAGAATTGTTGTGTGTTTATTTTTTAACTTGTTGAAATGCGTCTCAAGGGGCATGTGCATTAATTAATAAAACACTTGTTAATTGCACAAGAACAAAAGAAAACACACGGTCAGCATTCCTGTTTCTATCACAGGGATCTCTCAGACACTCTCCAGGCAGTGAGTGTCTGAAGTTGCGGCTGTTACTATATACTGCATCCAGAAATATTCTGTTCATCTGTACGTTCTTTATTTGCTGAAACAAATCAGTTAGAAATTGCTTTGATGATGTCTTCATGTGTGAATTGCACGTCAAAGATACTGCACTGCATGGAGATTCCTGCTCCTAGATTCAGCATAAAACACTGGCATGATCTGAATGTTTTTTCATGCTTGTTCAGGTGGATAATAAAGATCCTATGGCCAACATTCCTTCTGTTAGTTAATACCTTAAAAGATTAGTTGGCCCTAACACAAGGGCTTTTAACTCTTTGTGGGTAGTTTCTAAGTGCATACTGACTGGTATTTGTGGATAGATGCTGTTCTGAACATGCATTTTTACAGCTATTTCTTTTATGGCTTCTTAGGCCTGTTCCTGCAGACCTCTGTTCACTGAGGTACACCCACTGTGGGAACTGAGCATTCCACCCTTTTTATTGTACAAAACCTGCTGTCCCACTAACTGGAGAATTGATATTTTCCCTCTATTTTTGTACTTCCTATAATGCAGCAGGAATATGGATTAGTCATCTTTGGATAAGGTTTGCCTTGGTTTGGCTCAAAGTTCTGCTGTCCCCATAATGTAATATGTCCTGTATTATATTATCAGAGGGCACTGAAGGATTCTTAGAGTGAGATTCATTACCTTGGTTAACTTTGCCCCTTTACAGCTCAGGCACCAGTACAGGCTCGTTGCCTACTCTGCCCCTAGTATTAGTCATGGAGGAGGAAAAGCACCCCCTGCATCCCGCTGTCTCAGACAACTGGCTTAAGGTGGGGGAAGTCATGGTATTGTCTTTCTTGAGAAACATTTGCTAAGCCTTGGAGGCAGAAAATGTCTTGATACTATGGCACAGCTTTATGGTCTGAGATTTGTGGGGCAATTTAAACATACGCTGTTTACAGCTACTAAAGTTACAAAATAGGAGACAGTGTAAAGAAAATAACCACAAAAATTTCCTACTGGACAAGTCACTGTCTGAACAAGTTAGCGAATCTAAAGGCATCGTGGTGTCCTTTATGGCACAAAGCACTCACTGCCCTGGTAACTGCTGCATGTGTTCTCAGAATACAGAGCACAATACCACAAAGTAATTCAGAGAGCAACGTGATAGTGTGGTGCCTTTGCAGAGTGAAGTGCACTGTTGTATATGCAGGCACAATTGATCTCAGTCAAGAGCTAATTTTTATCCTTAAAAGCTTATTGCTTTTTGCCTCCCTGATTTGCATTGGGTCTCCTGATACCAAGAATCTTTTTCCAAGATTTTGCTGTATATTTTGAGAAGCTGATTGATTCCTGACCCAGAGTAATACTGTAAGAAGTACTTGTCTTTACCTCGACCGTGCTTATGCTTGTTGTTGATGACGATTTGTACTATTGTTCCTGAAGCTTGCTGGGGATCCGGTAGGACTCCACGGTTACTCCTGGCATTGGGAAATCGTGGAATGTTGACTACCTGCCTCGCAGAGCTGGGTGACAGGTCGTAGTGGGAGCGATGGTATGAGTGTCTCTGTTTGGAGACAGAAAGAGAGCAGGGAAGTAAATGTCTCATTCCAATGAGCATGGGGAAAGAGGCTGTACTAGAAGCTTAACACAGGCAACGAGAGTGTTGCCACTGCCATCTAACATCATTAAATGTAATAAATGGCACCACACTAAATGAAGGCCATTCAGGCTTTGCAGAGAGTTAACGTAGTAATGAAGTCATCTACACATATGCAGTTGTAACTCATCTCACCAGACTGTATATGTCAGCGTAGGTGTCTTTATCTAAGTAAGTTGGTCATCTGAAGTCCTTAATCAAGTCAATGGACTTGAGGGGCAATTTTAGAACCTGACCTGTTGTGGATCTCTGTATCATGAGGAGATGAATCACAACCCAGAAGTGCCTATTTCGCTCCATGTATTAAAAATGGTGTTCAGAGCTAGATATCTACTTTACTGATGTCTACTGTACTTTAAGATTAGATGAGAAGAATTGTACACCTGTCTAGTTTTCCTCATAAAAATTGCTTTCTACTGGGGCTCCAGTGGCAGAGCACATCCAGAACAACTGTCCAGCTTCTTGTTTGCTTGCAGCTTTAAACTCTCATGCAAGGGGCCAGGGTTAGCCTTGCACAGACTGAGCAGAACCTTACTAGAATCTGTCTTACAGACTGGGAAGTCTCATTTTATTTGCAAAGGGAAGTAGTAGTAGTAGTAGTAGTAGTAGTGTGCAGCGTGTTTGGTTGTTTTCAGAGAATTATTTTCCAAAATACCCGTGGGCAGGAAGGGATAGTGTATATTACAGCAGTTATTTTATAAGGCATGATTCTTCTCACTAATCCAAAACCCTATTGGTTCAGGTATTTAGGTAGTGCACCTAATGCTTAAAAGCTCTTCATATTCTCTCCAAATGCTGTGATAAAAATAATCTCTCGAGGAGTAAGTTGTTAATGGATACTCTTAGCCCCAGACGTAGTGAAGCCCCTAAAGTAAATATATATATGTGTATACATCAATTGGGAAGTAAGCGTTTGCAATTATGGTTTAAAAGTGACGCTTGCATAGCAAACAAAACGCTGTAGAATTTTATTCTTATAGAGCATATACAACAAAGACCAAATCCAGAGCCTGCAGGAGCTCACGGGAGTTTATAATTCAGCGTTATTCACGAATTCAGGTTGAGGTTATTAAGGGCAGAAGTGGAAAGAAACCTATTTTGGGCTAGATTCACAGAACCCAGGATGAAGCAGTAGATATTCAGACCTGTTATCATCCTTTCCTCTTTTTTCCCCAATGTACTGGCAGGCACAGCACAGCAGGAAAATACATCTTTAAACTGTAGGTCACACTTACGGCTTCCCTGTTGGCTGGCTGCCGGAAGATATCTCCATCGGAATGTTCCCATGATAATTCTCCATCTCCTGTATGTGACGCAGAGCAGTATCAGTTAGGGGAGTAATTGTGCAACACCTTGGGAGATACTTAGGGGAAAACTCTCATCCAGCTTTACAGCCAGATTTTGGGTTGAGGTTGCATCAGTGTGTAGAAGTGTCAGTCTGTAGTCTGACTTTATTGTACTAGATTCTGTAGAGATCAAAACGAAGATCCCTTCCCAAATATTATGCAAACTCAGGATTAAGATTTACTATCAGATTTATGTGGCTTAACAATATGCTACAGGTAAGATAAGTTCCAGCAACCATTTGCTGGAATCGTCTCAGGCAAAGGTGAGGAGACATGACCTAGCTTAGCTCACAGAGAAAGGCTAAATTGTGTGACCGTCCATCTACTGTGGGCTGAGGGAACCCACAAGCACAGTTCCTGTTGCTCAACTAGCATGTAACTTCACTGAGAATTGAATCCTGAATTACATTTTTGTAGTCAGCTCTGAAGTGCAGCCATTAATAAATAATATCGTATTATATATAGCAAGAAAAAGTAAGCCATATTTTGTCCTGCACGTTTCCTGTCCCCATATCTATATGGTTGGTTTTTCCCTCTTATTTATGTTTCATTTAATAAAAATTGCTAAGCCACGATTCACCCCCAGGTATGACTATGAACCAGGGAGGTGCTTTCATCTGTTTGTCAAAGAGAGGCTGTTTCATAAATAGAAGTGATGGCCATGCTGAGCGCGCGACTCATGAGACAGAAAACAGCAGCTCTTCCAGGAAGGCAGGCACGTGCAATGAGTTACGGCAGGATGTATGAGAAGTCGGCCCACTAAGACCGGATCCCATCTAAGCTCACAGAATCCTATACTGGCACGTAGAGAGTACGGCAATGATCAGCACTGCTTTTTTGAACGAGGCCAATAAAAGTACTACAGAATAAGGCTCATAGCACTAAGGACACTCATAACAAAGTACGGACATTCTGACGTGTCTTTTAAAGGAGAAAAGGTTTTGCTAGAGCACTTGTGATTTGTGCACGTGATGCAGAAGTAATGAATGCTTTTGAGAATCAATGTGAGGGACTTGCGGAGCCAGGCTCTGGTTCCTCACAGCCAAACATGTGATTCATGGAAAGGAAAGTTGGAAAGAACCCTCAGTTTCTATTTGGGAGTAGTGTCCAGCTGTTTTCTTTGTAAAGACAACTTAATAAATACAAACATAACTAAGCATAAGCTACAGTGGAAATTATAGCAGGGAAAAACCAGTTCAGGCTAGAGAGAGAATGTGGCGTTAAGAAGTTTTTAGAGATGTGTTTAGAGGTGTTCCTTGATAAGACGAGCCACGGAACTTGAACTGCTATCTGATTCTTGGAAATCTTGTACAAGAACAGGAGAAATCATTTAGTGTGGAGGGGAGCTTGGAATGTATTCCTGCCTTGGAATTCAGATACAGGTACAGATAAAACTGCTTTGCTAGTGGCTCAAAGCCTAGCTCTAGATGTGCCAAGCACTGCGCTGCAATGGAGAGCAGCACCACCACATCAGGAGCCTTACATTAACAGCACAGATCACGGGCTTGGGTCCTCAAAGCAGGATAGCTGCTGCAGCAGTAGCATGTGATACTGGCTTGGGAGAGCCACGGTGCTGATGCCTCCGGTTCTGGAGTTAACTCATCCAGATTTAACTCAATCAGATCCATCATGGATCCACTACCTTAGTGCACACTATGTATTAGCATTTTATCTTCTACGCAGTTTATGAGAACTTTCCCCTTAACTTTAGGGGAAGTTGGATCCTGACATAAATCACCATCTGAACCATAGTGCTTGGAGCCTTCTCTAGTCAGTAGTAGAGGAATGAACAGGAAAATCAGCAAATTTTAATATATTACGTTAATATATTTGGCCATGCAGGGAGCAGAAACTGACTCACAGTTTCCTCCCCATGAGCTGTGCTAGATCTTGATGCAAACATTTTATTTGGGTTTGCACTTCATAAGAATCACAGAAGGGAGATAAAACAGCTGATGCCATATTGAAAAGGACAAAGTTGATTACGAGATAAATTATCATTTTAACATTTTTAAATAAGAGTAGTAATAGACACTGGAATACATTAAAAAACCCCTACATCAGTGGAGACACTGATAATCCAATTTAATCTCACCTCTCATATGGAAATTCTAATGAATTTATTTCTCAGACTCTCTCTGGCTGAAGTGACTGATTTCTCCAGTGTAAGGCTAGTTTACAGCATACCTATGCCTGATACTTCATACTTTGAAAGTCAGTTTGATTTTTGTAACTGGGAGAGGCTGGTTTCAAATACAGATCAAATAACTATCAGGGAACAGACACCAGGAATCAGATGCTTAGTAAGGATTTACTTTAATTAACTGGCAATGTATTACATTTAAAACAGCGTATCGCTAAATTTCACCCTGGGAAGCTAGGACTATCACCTTGCCTGCTTGAGATCAGAAAGCTTTATAAGCACTTTGCCTGGCAAAATGTTTCACGATTTGTAAAGATACTGTGGAGTAACATGGCAAAGCAGCAGAGAATGAGGAACAATCTTCATGCATAGAGATCCTCATCTTTGCTCTGACTGAGATGATGTATTTATGCAGCACTTAGCATTGCCCTGCCGAGAGATTAGTTCAAGTCCTACATGGTGCCACACTTAAGTTAATTACCACTGCGTCTCTGCAGGTTAAGTAGCTTGGACAGCTTGCTGCACTGACATAACTACACAGCCTTTATCACAACAAATACATTCACAAATTCTCAGACATTTAGGTTTAGACATTCAGAAAGGCTGGGAAGGCAACTAGAATCAAGTTCTCCATGTGTACAAGATCTAAAATGCAATTGGTAGTAAAATACTGAAGTCACCTGAGTATACATTGACACCTAATTTAAACTGGAGTAATTGGCCTTACCCCTCTGAATTGAAATTCTTGTGTCTTGCATAACCTGAGCAGGTCTGGTAACCTGTCAGATAAAAGCTTATCTTTCATTGCAAAGCTTTTCTACCCAGAGCAATGGCAGCTACTTCAATACATCATTTGAAGCCTTGATTTACCTCGTTATGGGGATGCAACTTTATCATCAGTGCATTCTCTCTTTGTTTCAATTTAGGAAAACCAAGGTAGCAGTGTTACCCTGCTGGAATTCGAGTTTAATTTCCCAGCATGCATTAGATTGTAAGTACATGGGAAACTTGCAAATAGTGTCGTGAGTGACAGTGCTGGGGCACAGACAGGGCTCTGACAGGGGAAGGAGTGAATTCAGAGCCTGTCCTCCTGTGGTTGTACTCGAACTTACCTCTGCAAACTGGACAGCAGGACTCCGGAACAGAAACTGGGAAAGAGCAAGTTAATTTGGGACAAGTCTTCAACCCGCAGTACACATTTCCTTCCTGCAAGTAAAACACAAGGAGAATTTAGAAGGAGTCATCGATTTATCTGGTACTGTATATGCATTTTTTATGGACATGCTTAAATCTAGTATGTGTGTTCAGATAAATGCCACTTTAGTATGCAAAAGCAGAATATAGACCAAAGAAGAGTCTGAATAGCTTTTTTTAAATTTGTTGTTGCACAGAGGAAGGTCCCTTTCTTTAAAAAAACAGGGGAAAAGGGAAGAGGTAGAAGCATGTGGGGAGAAGAACTGCAATTATTGTAGGCTGAAAACGTACCTGACATTGCTGGTACTAAAATCACACAGTGTAAATTTCTGCCCCCCCCTCCTCTCCCTCTGTTGTGTCTTACCATTGAACTGGAGGAATAGCTTAGCAGTAACTGAAAGTCAGAAAGTCTGTTCAGTACTTGGCCTGTTAAATTTGTAGTTAATGTAGAATATGATGATGATTTGATCAGAGGAGGTCCAGAGTTGCCAATTCTTGATACTGAAGAGCTGGTTGGATTGAGAGGGATGTTTTGGTTCAGATATTGGCTCTGAAGAATCACTGGGTTACTGCTCGAACATACTGGATTTGAATTGGTGACATCTCTGTGGCCCAGTGCCAGTTTACAGAGCTGTCCACGCCCAGCCTGTGGGGCTCTTTACTTATCGACTCAGTCCAAATGAATTCAGTTTCAGTCAGTGGCTTAGTGCTATACTTTCCAGTCAGGTTGAAGTGAAATATTCTACATACGCCAAGTAGCAATATTTTACCTGCTGCCTCTGCACTCTAAGCTCACTTACAGCAGATGCTTGACAGGGTAAGCTTTGTCCACTGTGTTTGAGTAAGAGGTGGCCTGGCATTTACCAGCTGCTGCAGACTGGCTCTGAGCACTCTCATGAGTTTCAGCATTAATTCTCAATTCCCAGCCTTTTCCATGTATTGCTTATGTTTCAGCGTTATGTCTTCTAGAAAGGAGAAATGAAGCATAGACAGAGCAGGGCTCTGTCAAATCATGTTACTTACTGAGCAGCTGCACTGGGCACACTGGTTTGCTTGCCTGTTTTGGAAAAGCCCCTCTGCCACAAACATTTCACCATGATGGTAGGTGGTGCCATTGTATTCACAGGATTTCCCGGTGATTTTGCTGCTTACTGAGAAAAGGGAGTCTTCTGGAAGTAACGGGAAAGGAACACTTCATGCAAACGTTCTTGACAACTCGCAATATCACAAATACAAGGGAGGAAAAACTTCCTTTCTCCCTCATTTCTCTTTATTATAAAAAGACAAGTTTTGTTATGCTACAATGTATAAATGATATTCTCATGCTGCTATTTTGCTGAACTTTAATAAGTCACACTTTGAGTTGACTGTCCCAGTTAATCTTAGGATGTTGATGATCAACTGCAATGCCAGCACTGATGGCCATGTCTCATGCTGCTGTATTTTCTCTTGCTCTGCCTGCTGTAGCATTTGGTATTAGGATATAGGTCCAGTTATGTGGCCACTTGTTATATTTACATGGCTTTTTCATGCTTTAATGTAGAAGGCATTAGGTCCTGTATACACACAGCATCCCACTATCAATAGCACTGTTCTAGCATGGTTTCCCCCTTCTTAGTACTGGTATCATTTTATTAATGATTTGTAGTGTTGTAGCCCATAGAAGACTTAGTTGCAGGTTAGCAGGTTGTGCCGTAGGGCACGCACGATGCCGCTTCCGTGCCACCCACAGGCACAAACCTTCCGGTAGAGAAGCAGTGATACTGATGATGGAACCGTGTCAAGAGAAAACTATGATGTCCTGTGTAAGTGTTTGTTCCTAGTGGCCCTCACAATTCATTGCTGCTGCTGTTTTCAAAATGGGCAAAACTTGTCAAATGCAGACTTCAAAAGCCACCCAAAAGCTGAATCTTCTCTTACATGCATTTTAATGTCAGATGTGCAAATGACTGCGTTTTGTTTGCACACCTCAGTGCATATGACAAAGTGCACAAGATGGCAGTGTCAATTCAACCCTGAAACCTCCTGTTTCAACTCAAGAGCATATCGAGTTCTGCGCCACATGGGTTAAATTTTCTCATAAGACATAAAGCTATCCATACCTTCTGTTAAAACATCCCCTAGATTGTTTAACTATTAGCAGTTGACAAACTGTGCAAAGGGATTATACTTTACCTGTGAAATGTAAGTCACTTGATATCTATTGGGCAGTGAATCTGGCACTATACATTTACATTCACATGAATTTAGCATCTCAGCATGGGAAGAGGCATTTCGAACAAGAGCTCTGTGGAAGTAACAGTGGAGTGTTTGTTCTCTGGAGCCCGAACCACTGCAAATTTCTAGGAATGCAGCTGAAATTTCATTCAGTGGGTTTGGGCTTTCATGTAAAAGAAACCTGACCTGAAAATTCAGGTTTTGCTGTAGCCCCTTTCATTATCTATCAGATAAACCTGGGGAGATTTTTTTGTGAAACTGTGTCCCCACAGAATGCAAATTTTTCAGCTTGGAGCTCAAGTGAAAGAGCAGTTTTCTGCTGGCATGCACTGGCATTAAACACTGACATTTAGAGTTTTCCATAAAAGCATATATTTAATTACGTTGGTCCATCAAATATTAATAATATTTTGAATGTTAAATGTCAAATCTGGCTGTGGAACATATATGTACTACAGTATTTGAGAGTCTAGTGGGTCAGCAAAGAACATTCTGCAGGAGAATGGCAGAAGTTAGCCATTTAGGGTTCCTTGCCTGCCATTTCATTTCTCTTGAAGAGACAGACACGGTATTTGCACTTCCTCCTTTGAAGCACCAAATACATTATTTCAGTGCAATCAAAGGTGTCTAATGATACCTTTCCAAAATCTTATACATAGTGCAGAACTTTGACAACACCTGTGCTTGGCATAGAAGTGCAGTGCTTTCGGCACTTTCTGTATGGTTTGCTAGTAATAGACATTCTGGAATGGCAAGATGTATTCTCTAATTAAGACACATCCTTTGAAAGTCATCAGCAAAAAATTCAAGTGACAAATTCACCTACTGTCCCATTAGGCACAAATATTGAAAAACATGAATGAAGAGGCACTTCTCAGGACTGTGCTACCTCCCGCAACTTATGTCACCAAAGTTTCTTGGGCTTTCCAAGAGTCATGGAAAGCAGAAAGAGACACTGCCAAACCTTTAGTTATCCCCTTGCCCCTTGGGCAACTGGAAGAGCAGTAGAACTGGAAAGAAATGAAAATAAAAGGAGAAATGAGAGGAGACTACAGATGGTTCTTGTCTGGATATGAGGCCCTGTTCATGCAGACTCTGGAGGACGTTGCTGTGCCCATGTGGGATGCCTGTCCAAAAGCAGTGTTTGGCTTGTGGTCTGACATTTGCAAAGACCAATACTTGAATGATTCATCGTAACTCTTCAGGGTATTGGATGAAGAGAGTAAATTTTACTGCAGATTTACCTTGGTATGTGCCACATTGGTCAGATTGCTATGAAATCACCAAATGCCTTTAAACTGTGGCTTCTAAATAAGGGAAGGAGGATGGTGAAACTTTTATTGCTTGGAAAATGACAGTGGAGAGTTGCAGTAGGTAGTTGTTTTCATCTACATTTCTTCTAAGCTGATCATAGAAGTTAGGCCTATAACAGCTAAATCATAACATGCAGCCCAAAACACGTGTACATCTGCCTGTCTTTGGAATATGGGATGAAATTCTATTGCTATTTTGAAGTCTTATTTGATGAAATAATTTTAAGAAAAGTCAGTTTCGGTTACAGGGAATAAGACCGAGGTTTAGGTCCTATGCTGCACATACCTGGGCATATGATTATCTTTTAGCACATTAAGTCAATGGGCCTATTTGGTTGCATAAAATAAGGTTTAGAAGAAGTTTTCAGATCAAGACCACAGTACTGCTATTGCAAAAAAATATATACAGTCATGTATCGGAGACAGCATATTGGAGAGCGCGACCAATCCTCTCCAAACACAGCATCTGTCTAAAACGGCAAAGAAGTTTTGTTTATATTGCATGTCTAAATATAACTTCTGTCTGGTGCAGTTTCTCTCTCTCTGTCTTTGCTAATGTGTGATTGACTCTCTACAACTACGATTTGCCTTGGTTTCTTTTCTAGTGCTGCTTAAATCATGGCTAATTAGAGGAGTTCAGACTCCCTCACGATATCATATTCTCCTGGAGAATGTGAAATTAGAGTCATTGTGGATTGTTTTAATAAGTGCCAGGTTTGAACTTTGAAAAATCTTGGCATTAATATTGATATCAGCGTGTATTACTCTGTGCCTTAGTTAAGATATGTTAGAATTAGATTAATTAACTGCAAATATACTGCATTGCTCAAAGCTCTATTTGTAAACCTTGCTTCCTAATCAGGATTGTTCCCAAAGCTTTATCTGGCATTTTAATGGTGCTGACTAGCATTGCTTTAATTAGCTGCCTCTGTAAAGTACCAGGCAAACCATCTGTGTGAATCCTTTTAATTAACTGGGTTCAATCTGAGCTTTTCTTTCTGGCATTCATAGCATGTCTGTGGAAGCAATATAAAACGTATAGGGTAAAGATGTTATAGCGTCACTCGAAAAGGAAGTATCTTTGTTTCTGTGGTTGGCATTTATTCTCTAAGGGCTCAGACTTCGGTGTAGAAGTTGACAGGCCATGCTTACATTTGCCTGCAATTTTAGGGCAATCAGGACAAGACCATGAGTTAGCAATATGGGTAGCACTGATTTATCAATCACCAACATTAGCATTAGGTAATGGCAGGGGGCTAAGATGTGCAACCTAGGCTTCACGTGACTTGATATGGTTTTGAAGTTATCCTGTAAGTAGCTTTAAAGGTTGACCCTGGTGAAGAACTCTTTCAGGTTTTACAAACAGGCAACAGAATACAACTGTATCAAAAATGGATCAGCTTCAGAACAATTATTTTTTTAAAAGCAATTGGAGACTATGGTGGGTATGCTTGAATTCTTATATTCAGGAATTCCTCTCGTCCAAACACGGGCTTCGGTCCAGCTTCTGTTGTCTCCCTAGGCTGTTTTTCACTGGCGTACCATACCCACAAGGTAAATCCTAGCCTCAATGAAGCCAAGAGAAAGGTTTCCTTCAGGGCTCAGCCTAGGTGCTTGCTTGAACGCTGCTTTTTAAGATTATGTTTGAGATGGATGCTTGTACTAGGAGGAACTGTTGATCTAGACAAACAAGCTTTGTATCAATTCAGATCTGTAGTACAGCCTGATATAGAAGTTCACTATGAGCTAGAACTGCATGTAGGTATAGTTCACGTATTCCATGAAGTATAGCCCATTTGACAGGGCATGTGAAGAAAGAGTACGGAAAAAAGTTTGCCATGAAGGGATGCTAACTTAGTGTGAAGTGCAGCACTAATGCTTTCCTGATAGTCTGACAAAACAGAGTTAGATATGAATTTGATAAACCACAGACATTTTATGGAAATTTTCTGGTTTAGTGGAATCTACTCCAATCACAGATTTTTCATGGAAACCCGCCTGCGTTCCTGATGGTCTGCCCATGACTTGAGGTTTCCAAGGGCCAAGGTTTGAGGGCAACCATGCTATGTACACAAACCATGGCTCCCTGCCTTCTGGAGCTTTCCATTCTCCTGGGAGAAACAGATGCTGTGTCACATGGATCACAGTCAGTTTTGGAAACACCATCTTTTAGCTTTTTCTGTTTACAACTATTCCTTCCTGGATTGTTATAAAAGCTTGGTCCTGAGATGCTTTACCCTTACTTGGATATGAAGCAGAAGAGCATCAGTTATCTGCAACTAAGCCCTTGAATAGCTTAGACAAATTCCACAGGCAGTTCCTGGTGTCTGAAAAAGTGGTAACTTCTGTAAAAGTATTTATGTGCAGACAGTGAAAAGCAGTAACTGGCTATGAGCAAACTAGCCCTTTGGGAAGCGTTACTGCAGGGTGACTTACTTGAGGAAGGGCTTTAGGATCCAGGCCTTAACTACAGTCAATTAAGTTTTCAACTTGGATCCTTCTGGATAAAGTCAGAAGGTACAGGTACAATTGCTAACAAACAATTTTAGGACACTAACGAACAAACTGGCAAAACCACCTCAGAATCAGTACGGTCATGGCATAATAATCAGTAAAGTATTTATGATGTGACATCTGAC